TAATTGTAATTGTTTATTATTATTGTTATCATTTATTATTGGGCACTTTTTTACTTTGGGGAGGGGGGGGGGTCACACGCGAGCACGCTCGCGTATGACATCCGATGCCACGCCTACTGCGCATGGCCTTAGCCTAAGCGTAACCTCAGCCTCATCTAAGCGTGGCCTCAGATCGCTCGATGTTACAACAGAGGCTAGCAAACGAGCTCAGGCTTAGGCTTAGGCTGAGACTACGCTCAGGCTGAAGCCATGCGCAGTGGGCGTGGCCTCGGCCCATGTGAAAGCGTCGCTCATAGTGTGCGAGCGTATGCATCATACACTTCAATTTCTTTGCATTAACTCGCTATGTGCTGCTTCAGTGACGATTCAAATGAGAGTGTCGTCCAGTCAACACAAAAAAATATGCACGTTTTGCAGCTGCACCGAAATATCCAAATGTATAAATAGAAGCACACCAACCGATTTATAACGGTACAGTTACGTTGGGAAGGTTTTTGAATCACACACCGCACGCCAGATGCGCGAACGTAACACCTTACGTAAAGTGCATTGCATTACCGCAAAACGAATTGACGTTGGTTGTGTTGTTCAGGGCGAATCGAGTGATCAAGGTAAGTCAGAGAGTGCGATTGCGATTTCGAAAGTTTTTATCTGCATCCTACTTCTCTTAGACGAGTTGTTGCAGAAGGGGGAGGAGATAATGTGGACATATGGTAAGTCGTGCTAGGACGCACCGTAGTACAATCAATGTTGGAGCGAGAGGTGCAGGGACCGTATCAGCAAAACTTCCACAACCGAAGGTTCTCGTCAGAGGGCGTCAGCTGAAGCGAGTAGGATTCCAGTGGCTTATGACGATCCAATGGGAATTAGTAGATCGCCGTCTCTCAGTCAGCTTGCAAAATCGACCACATCTCTGTATTTCGCGATGAAATCTGTTACACAGCTACTAGCCACGACTAATGTGTATTTGACTGTAGCATACAGTTATCGTAGTGCTATTGAGGAGAGCTTCAGAAGAATTGCGCTCAAACATCCGTATGCAGAGCCGTTTCGCACACACGACTCGGCAATTGTCGTTATCGGAGTATCGTGACTATACGTATGAGAAAATCTGTTCAAAAGCAAGAGCAGGTCGTCAGCGTGATGAGTAGCGGAAAGAGTAGTCAATAAATGTTACTCGAATGAAGATTTCCAATTTTTTCTCCGTTTTTGCGCATATACCATCGTCGCAGTGAACAGGAGATCATTTACAAATCGTTGGTGACGAACTTGGATAATTTGAAGGTAATGTGTTCTCGATATTTCTGTTCATAGTCTTTCATAGCAAGCTTATACACTGTACCCTATCGAACATAACCATTACAAGCGATTGGAAAGTATTTCTAGTTCTCAAAAAGCAGCGTTTTCGGAAAAGCACTCATTGCATTTTTTAATCCCGTTTTCACTCTGGGTGTATTTTATGTTGTGTGTTTGCCCAAATCTGTTGGCTTTTCGCTTGCTTTGCACGTCGTACGATGACGAACCGACATTCGATTTCTTCGTTGACGCACTCTTGGATTATCATATCAGAGACGACATTCATCTGCCTCAAGAGCAATGGCATGTGAGTGACCCTGGCTGAGTGATTACTGACATCATTATCATTTATATTATCACCATTACTATCATCAACTCTACTAATAACTCTTCTACGCAAATACATCAACTCTAACAACTTTCCCCCTTTCCCCATCCTTTCGGCCAAAAATAAGAAAAAACTTCAGCAAAAGAGTTTTTTTTGCAGCCAAATGCACTCCTACTCTTGAATCTCTTAGTGCTGCTGTGATAGAAATTGCAAAAGCTAGATTCATTCTGTTCAAATTAGAAAATTTCTCCTCATATTTTCGAATATTTAGCGTGATTTTGAGTAGAAATCGGATGAGTCTCTGTGAAAATTTAGAAAAAGAAATGGAAAAATAAATGCAAGCGGTCGTAGGTGCGAAGTACGGGGATTATAGTAAATGTATGATAACCGTGTTTCATCGGACCTGCTCTATTACACAGATTCAGGAATCGTTCATAATTGGAGTTACCAAGTCTGTAAGTCATCAAACAGCTACAGGCCAACTTCAAGTCCAGATTTGACGACTACTCCATCCCGAGGGACAGCATCGCTTTTGTTCGTGACCCTTTCGCTGTGCGAAATACGGATATATCCTCCCTGGCTAAAGCAACCATCCCCTGGTTGGATGAGGCCGCATTTCAGTTGGAGCTTATTGATATACAAACAACCTCTGTTGTCAGTGATGCGCTCAAGAAAGCAGAATCCGTGCGCGATTTTTGGACATCATGCTCAGATGAGTACAGATGGATCAAGAAAATGTACATGACGCCGATACACTTTTGGCCCGCCGGAAGCTTCCGACATTGAAAATTCGATGACGAAAATTCTCAGTAATTCAAAGCCTCTTTTAACTCTTCAAAATCAAATCCTCAAGTTTATTTAGCGGGCCAAAAAAATTTGTCGGCGGGTCAATTTTGTCCCGCAGGCCAGGGGCTGCCGATCCCTGACTTACACGATGCCTGGGTCAATTAGTGCTTTCAGTTCCGGACCCCGTCGCTGTTTCGCGATAGGACATTTTCAGAGGGGGAGGGGGATAGGGGCACAATCCGGGCCAATAATTCGCGGGGTTTCGGTCCAGTCTGGCAAATCTTGAT